TGTTTTTGGGTTTTGTTTGTTTGATTGGGGGGGGGGGAGGGGGAATGGTGGTGTGCTGGCAAGGGTTTTTTGTTTGGTTGTTTTGGAGTTTTTTTTCTCTTCCCCAGGCATTTCTGGCTCCTTGAGATATTGTGGATTTTCTGACATTATTCTAAAGACAGATCTCTGAGAAATACTTCTGTGTCATACTTGTGCTGTATTTCTCAGTGATACTATATAAGTATTTGCGGAATTTATTTTGTAGTGCTCTTTGTGTAGATTTGGCTTTTTTTCTCTTTTAAATTACTGAAGTATTCAAATTTTAATATTTTAAGGCTAAGTGGGTAATTTAATTTTCTGTACTCCAAATACTAAATTCTCATTTTGACCAAGACAAGACAGCTATGGTGGCTTTGCTGTTTACTTAGTCACTCAGTATTCTGTGGGTTCTTGTAAGTTCACTTCATGCTGAAGTTGTCACTGATGTCCCATCTCTCCTTCTCTTTACTGGGCTCAATCAGTGGGATGCTTGTTTTGTTTCTTAATTGATAGAGCTCCGAGATGTAGTAGCATTTACTTTCCTGCATCGTAGTATATTAGAACAAGCTAGTTCTTCTCAAGATAACTTTGAATTCAGCTGGCAATGTTCCCCTGGAGCAGTGCACAAATAGTACTGCAGATCCAGACATGATCAGTCTTTTTTACAGTCCTTTATTTTCTGTGATGAGCTAAGTCCTAAATATTATCTTGCTGGGTATCCAACATTTTAACTTTGTGTTGTAAAATTGTTTGCCCTGAGGTACAAACAGGTCAAGGTAAATCTTGGAAAGTGTATTTGTTTAGAAGTATTTCTTGCTTGGAAAAGTTTTTTGTTCAATTTTAGAATTAAACAGTGATTTCAGCAGCTGTAAATGGGGAAATGAAACCTTGATTTGGTGGGGATTTGTTTTGTTTGGGTTTTGTTTGTTTTGTGGTTTGGGGTTTTTTTGAGGGGTGGTGGATGGAAAAAGCTTTATAAGTCACAGATTGAATAGGGAAAGAAAATAGTATTTTCATTATTTACAGCAACTTATGTACTGAAAGCAATAAGAGTATTGCAAATCTGCCCAAGTACCTGTGCGTCACAGCAGTTTGATTTTGGCCTTATTATGCAAGTCTTTTTACCTCTTTTCTTAGATATGCAAGTATAGTTATTCTACCAGTGCTATAAAACTATCAGCTTCCGGTTAGAGTTTTATATTTTTTAAAAATTCCTGGTGAATATAGGATCATGTTAATGCTGCAGTACTTTCCTCACCACTGTTGGAGTTCTTTCCATTTCTGTTATAAATGGATAAATTCTGAAAGATGAATGCTGATCTCTTGTTGACTTTTCACACTTCTGATGTTTTTGGGGAAGGAAAATTTCTGTGTGTGGAGCTTGGGGAGGTGTTTGTGGAATTTTGATTACTTTCTCATTCCATTAAGAGATTCCTCTTTTTAAAAAAAAAAAAAAAGGTAAAATAAAAAATGGTTCACAGGAATGTCTTTTTTTATCCCAGACTAGCATGATAGATAGTTCTCCTGCTTGTTCTTCCCCAAATAAATGAATAAAAACATCCACAAATAAACAAGGACTTTTAATTCTGTTATTAAAAATAAATAAATAAAATGATTGTTTAAGTAGTATCTTGGCTCTAAATTTTTCTTAGGCTAGATTTATCCTTGGTTACTAATACTACATCTTTCAGCTTGTGAGATTCCTAAAGAGTGTATTAGCTTTGTTATATGTGCAAAGAATCTTTTATGCTGCCTTTTCATTTTAGTAATAACATATTTTGAGAGTTGTATCTGTCTAAATTTTTTTTTTACTTTATTGCTATAGCTTTTAATTTTTTATTAGCTATTACTCTGAGATTGGCTGTCAGCCTAAGTATTTAGCTGAGTAGTACTTCATTCAGGATTTAATTTCTCTATACACTTGTAGAAATCTCTTCGAAACAGTGAAATGGGTACAGCTGTGTACCAAATGACTGCATAATTAAAGGTTAAAGAACATTGAGGTTAAATTCTGAAAATTAAGACATCTTATTTCTTGCAAAGCAAACTTCTAGGCTGCAGAGATTAATAACAGTTTGCCATGGATATGACTGGTACAAAGATCACATTCGAAGTGGTTTTGTTGGTGAATACTTAGTTTTATATATAATGATCTCTGAAAATATTCCTAGAAGTAACTTTTAAGATAGTGGCTAAAAGGAACATAAGCATACAGCAAATAGAAGGTATTTCAAAATTTAAGAGGATTTTCTTTTTTGTGTTGCATCTCTATTTACATGAAAACAAAACAGTTGAGCCACTCTTTCAGATCATGCTTATGGAACAGAAATAGTTTACTAAAATGTGTTAATCATACATGTAGCTTTCTTTGAAGCTCTAGGAATGGCGTTAGAAATGTTTTTGAATTTTGCACTGTTTAAATCAAAGAGAGAATATTTTCCTGACTATACCAAAGCAAACCTGTGGTGCAAAGGCATTCAAGTTTGCCTACAATGCTCTTGATTTAGTTGAGTAATCTAGATCTGGTTTAAATCTCTTAATGTTGTAAAATTTGATAGTTTTTACTTTGAAGAAATTGCAGCTGTGACCACGTGTTGGCTTCAGGTTTTTCATGTGCACCTCAGTTCATCCACTTGAGCTGTAATGGAACGTCTTCTGTTGTAACTTAAATTTGGTTAAAAACCCAAGAATAAGTAAGCTTTGAATAAGCAGATTGTTCTCACCATCAATTTGTAGTCAGTTTGTTTTTCCTCCAGTAAGACAGCATATTTGATAATTAAAAGTTGTATATGACTAAAACATGAAATAAGAGATGTTAACTGTGAAGCTCTTCTAATTGCAAGCATTTCAGGTGAGAGATCTTATTTTTGCACAGTCTGTTCTAGATGTTCTGCAGCTTTACAGTTTCCTCGTGCTTCAGGATGCAAAGCTAGCCTTGTGGCTGACTGCAGTGGAGTGGCCCAGTCTTGGGGAGCCTGAAGCTTATCAGCAACATGCAGGGTCTTCCAGGTGCCCCTGCGGCTGGGAGGGGGAAGGGACGAGTGTCTTTATTTCAATTACTTGACTTACTAATTTGTAACTTAGTCAGCTCAGCTGATGGCAAGTACGATACTCTTATGTTCTGCAACCTAGCTGTTCATTAGCTACAGCTCGTACATCTGACTTGTAAATGTGATTTTAAAAATATGGACAGTCCCTTCATACTTTTACCTAGCAGTGCAATGTTATTTGTCTGTTATCAGATACTTTACTCTTGAAAAACCTTATGATTAGTACAAGATGGCAAAGTCTACTTCCTTGAGGTTGTTGGGATAAAGCTGATGCCAGTTTTCAGTTATTGTGACACAAAAAGGTGCAAAACCCCCATATCTTTGTAATTTGGGCTACGTGCGTATCTTAAATTTTGGACTTTTAAATCTTAAATCTTAGATATGAGTAATTCTTTTTTTCTTAAATTTTCATTGGGTATCTGGCAAGATCAGTTTTCCAAACATACTGGTAGGTAATGTACAAGCATGTATATAGTCAAAGAATGCACAATAATAAACACATTTGTGTACGGTATTAAAGTGTTTTACCTTTATATGGTGTCTTTCACAAATGCATGTAAGATTGTTCAAGCTTACAGCTGCATTAATGGAACCTCTGTAGCTGTAAGCTAACTAAAATCCTGATGTAGATGTTTGTAGATGTTCATGTTTGTGGTAGGTCAGGATCTAAATTTGTCTCATCATCCTGTATTACACTTTGATTGCAATTAACATCACACGTCAATAAATAAAACATTGGTTGTAGAGGGTACCCTTGAAAGCGATAGTGCATAGCAACACAGCAGTGTGAGTTACATTAGATAGCTAAAATGGGTGTTTCCCATAAGCCTAACGGCTTGTCAAAATATATTATTACTTTATCAGTTCAGGCAAGAAAAAGATTAAACATATTAAAAGTTACCCCAGTTCTGGCATGTTTTGGTTATGCAAATTTGTGAAGCTTGATAAAATACTTGAACTGTGCTTTCCATCTGATCCTATAGAGATGGGGATCTCTTGATGACTGAAATTTCATTATTATTTTCCCTATTTGTGCCATACAGCCGAGAGGGGTTAAATATCTATCCTTGTAACTATTACAACCACCTGGGCTTGCTCTTTTCTTTTGCAATTAAAGCAAGCCTGAAGTTGTTCTCAAATTTTCAGATTTGATGATGGAGAATTCCTATAGTAGCATCCAGAGACTTGCATTAAAATTGTACAGCATTTTGTGCAGCAAAGCTTTGAGACAATCTGAAGATACTATTTGTTCTACATTGTCTATTTATACTTCATTGACCTAAAATAGCTAGGAAAAAGGTTGTTCATGCCTGGCTAGAAAGTATCCACACCCGGTTACAGTGGATAGTAGCAATTTCTTTGAGACGTTATTTCAGAAACACTGTACTTATTCATTTTCACGTTATACTGTTTTCAAGTAATAGTCAAATCCTCCAAACATGTCTGGTAACCACAATGTTTGCCTTAAACTGGAGTTCCTTGTAGGTCTTCTCAGCTGACAAAGTTGGGCTTTATAAAAACTGCTAAAATTAGCCAGCCCTTCCCTGCTGATCTCATAATATTGGAATAGGCTCTCATAAATGGTGTGCGTTTTAAATTCAGTATAAATCTAATAGAGCACACTTTGTTAAGGTAATTGGATTTGGTACTTTCAGAAACTGCACCTTTATTTGCTTGCTGAGTTTTCTTTAGATTTCTGTCACTAGTCAGGCAATAGGGTGGGAAAGCATACAATGTAGAATGTAAGAGGCTTTAAAAAGTATTTCTGCCATAAGCTTGTGCTCTGTTATAAAGAACTAGCACTAGTAAATATTTGTTGGAGACTCAAACAGCATGCCTGGTACTTCACCAGGTCTGGTTCAGTATTTTTAATAACTGGGTTTTATTTTAAATGAATATTTTTATTCACAGAATTTCTTAGAGTAGTAGCCCATAGAGTAATATTTAGGTTTCTTCTGAAATGTGAGGCAACTCTGGCAAGCAAATAGCAGAAGATCCCAATTTTGAAATATATGGTCTGTAAATCTGATAACAAATCTTTCCAGTTTTGTTTATATGAACAGCCACCTTTTGCAGCTACATACCAAGGGCAAAGTCAGCATCTAGAAATCAGTGTTAGAAGCATTTGTCAGTTCTAGTATTCTAGTAGTTGAGACATGTCCACAAAGAAAGCACAGAAACTCACGTACTCTCAGGGGTTGAGATTCAAATAGCATATAGTGAAGGAATATGTGCACTTTGCAACATTACTAGAAATAATGTAATTAAAAAAATCCTGAGATAGGTTCCTTAAGTCATACTTTTTATTGAATTATATTGCTCTTATCCTTGACCTTTTAATGGCCAACTTCAAATGTCTGAAAACTTTGGAAACCTGAACGTCTTTGTAGGGTTCCAGGTCTGGCAGTGCGACTTTTCCTGGCTGGTGGTTGTAGTGCTGCTTTGTGTCTCAAAATCGGAGCTGCCTCTATGGTAGCAGGCATGTTTTGTTGTAGGATGTAAGTCCTTAGGTACAAACATATTCATGGGCTGCCAATTCTCACTTTTTGCTGGATCTGACAACTTAAGTTGGAGTTTGTGGGCATATTAGATACACACTTGCACGACATAGGTTGTCTTTGAAGATGCATGTTCATGCTCACCGTCTCACTCAAAAGTAATTTTAAGTTCTGAGTATTTTCCTCAGATGCAAGGTGTGGTGATGTTACATGAAAGGTTCCTGTTAAAATTATAATGCTTCTGTATCACAGATGTCTGGAATTAATAATTGTGATGCAAAGACAGTCTTTTGTAAGAAATGTTACATTAAAATACTTAGTTTCAAATTAAACTACCACCAAATCACTTTTTTCTCTAAGTTCCATTCCTATAAGTGAAATCATTTTAGATACCAGTTAGCGGAAAATGATTGGTAGTGTGTGCGGGGGGGTTGTTGCTCTTTTAAATACAGAAGTCAAACTTTAGTTGATATTTAGACATCTTACACAGGAACTGTGTAATCATTCTACAATAAGTAATTACATGAAATTTGTTGGTTAATGAAATTCTGCATTTGCATTCTCCCAGCAGTATGATGGTAGTTTATTGAAATTATTTATTTATTTATTTTAATGGCAGCCTTGGACTTCTAACAACTCATGTCTTCCTTTTAAAGGGCACAAAACTATGGATAATAATGGAATACTTGGGTGGAGGGTCAGCTTTGGATCTTGTAAGTATATTTTTTTTTTTGCATTATAAGTACTAGTGAACCTTACTTTGTGCTTTCATATCCCTCTATAAAATTTAGTCCCTAGAGGCAGCTGATGTTACATCACTACTATATTGTAATGCTCCAAAAAGTGTCAATTTGAATGGTAGTTCTGTTATATTGAATTGATGTTGATTTTCTTTGTTGTTTTTGTTTTTACTGTTCGTCTCTAAGCATTAGGAAGCATCCATTTGTTCTCAGTCAAATGTAAGGCAATTTTTTTTTCTTCGTATGAGGAAAAGTACTGTTCTTGCCATATGTGGGGGGATTTGGGGTTGTCTGTCTGTCCGTCCCCCAGCCCCCTCTCCCGAGTAGAATTCATTACACTTGAATAAAAAATGTTTCCTTTGGGAACATGTCTCAGGAATGAATGAAGTGTGTGCCCACAGAGTACAGTTAATTTTAACTGGTTAAAAGGTGTTGGGTTTTCCATCTTCAGGTATTTTCAGTTAAGCATGAAAGTGCCTTTTACTTAAGATAGTGAGCATTCACGAAAGATGCAGCTTATAGGCAGGAGCACAGTCCACTGTGTGTGGATGTGGTTTCCTCATACTTTCGGTACAGCTCTGGCTCAGCTGTAAAGCATGGAGACCCACCCTTTCCTGTAAGGTGATAGAACTCAGTCTTTGTTTGTGTGATTCTGAAGGAAAAATATCATGTCTTCAGTATTACAGAATGGTGTTAATTGAGTATTTGCTGACAGTGGTCCTCTGCAAGAGTTGAAGTATGTGCTTAACTTCACAAATCTATTTAAACTTCTTTACGAAATTACATCACACCAACTCAGCTACAGGAATGCAAAAACATAGTAATCATGTGGAACGTGTAGTAGTTTGCAGCTCTGGAATTTAGTCTGAGAAAGAGGCTGTGAGATACTTACTCTAACACTTTTGAGTAATTGATAGTCTTCTGTGGAGTGTCAGAAATAATGAAACAGCTTTTACTAATAACAACTGAAACCACTGAACCTTTAGAAGAATAAAACTTGTAAGTTTTGCCTCATTTGCCTCACTTTGCCATACCATAATTTCATGGTGTTCTCTATTTCAGTGCTGCATCGTTGGTATTTTTTTTAATAGCAGAATCACCCACCTTAATTGCTTCTGTTTTATTTACATAGCTTTCTAATGTGCGAAGTTTACACTTATTCCATACTAGCAGCTTTATAGTAGCGTGTTATGTTCTTGATGCAAAAGCAAGCATGGAATCAAAAATGCTGGAAGAAGAAAAAAAAGCATCATTAAATTTAAACCCCACAGTCAATAGACTAATTTATTTTGAAATAAACCACGTTTCTTAATTAACTTAATCTAAAATGCACAATTCAGTCTGCTGTGTTTGCTGTTTGTAGGAAGCTATAACTTTGTGGAAAGTTAGTTCTAGCTTTTCACATGCATTGCATGCTAGGGGAAGTGCATACTCTATATGTTAGAAAAGTAACAGCATTTTTAATGTATTATCAGTAGAGGAGATAGGAAGATGATCATTCTAGTGGCACATATTTTTGATAGAATGTTGCCATACTTCATTGAATAGTTCATGAATTCTGTTAGTTCTTTATTTTTAAAAAAGTCTTTCAAGTTTAAGATTTAATTAAATCATAACAAGGCAAAAAAATAGATACAAGACTAAAATTATTTTAATGTGTCTTTTCTCTAAAGCTGCGTGCTGGCCCATTTGATGAGTTCCAGATTGCTACCATGCTAAAGGAAATCTTGAAAGGTCTTGACTACCTACACTCGGAGAAGAAAATTCACAGGGATATAAAAGGTGCATAACATTTTAAATGTTACTTTGTTAAAGCCTTTAAAAATCATAAGAGCAATATTCTAATTTAGATATTTTGTTACTTCCCCTTGGCAGCTGCCAATGTCTTGTTATCAGAACAAGGCGATGTTAAGCTTGCTGATTTTGGAGTTGCTGGGCAGCTGACAGACACACAAATTAAGAGGAATACCTTTGTTGGAACTCCATTTTGGATGGCCCCTGAAGTTATTCAGCAGTCAGCATATGATTCAAAAGTGAGTATGAGAGTAGAATACCTTTTCTTTGTATCTGCAGATCCAACAGAAATGACTTTGATTTTTGTGGTTTTAGCTCTATCAGTATGGAGAAAAAAGTATATTTCATATTACAGGTTTTCAAATAATAAAATTAAAAGTACAATTAAATTGGTTTTATACAATAGTTACATGTCACTGTGCTGACATGCAAGACCTGTGCAAACTCACCAAGTAAATTGATGTTTTCATGTTAAGATTCTTTCAGAGAAACTCCCTGGCTGCTTTCAGTGTTGTGGGTGGGTTGGTTGGTTGATTTTTAATTTCAATTAAATGTTTCACATTTAATGCAAACAGTAATACAGCTCTCACAAACTAGAATGTCACCAGAATTTATCAGCTTATGTAAAACTGAGATGGTGGCTGAAATTTTACTCTTTTCTCAGATTTGTTTAAACAGCTCTGGATATCATTTCTTTAATGGCATTTCTGAGGACCTTTGTAATGCTGAAGATTTTAGCACAGGTGACTGATCTTGAGAAGGAAAAAACTAACTTGAACTACAGGATGGGTAGCTGTGGTAGCGTTGTGGTACCTTGTACATTTCTTTGTCACGGGAGCTGTTGATGGAACATTAATTGCAAAGGAGAGTTCCCTTATGTGAACTAGCAGTAGAAAAGCAGACCTCCTCCATGTTCTTCTGTTGGGAACTGCTGCTAGAAATGATGATAAGGAGGAAACGGTCCTCTCTATTCCCTTGTGTATACCCACCCACAAGACAACCTACAGCATGTGGTTAATGAAATGACAATGTGCTTCGGTGCTGCCATTGGACTTTGTGTACTCTGTAGATCAACCTTAAATAGGAGCAAGAAATCTAAAAGTCTTGGTGTACGTAAAGTAATAATTTCATACCATTTATTTCTCAAGTAGTAAACAAGTAACTGTTCTTGTGATGTGCACATAAAGAAAAGATTGTTGAATACTTGACATGTGCTGAAGATAGTCACACTCCAGGAGACTTTCCCAGAATCATTCAGAGTTGAAAGCATCTGTGTCCGTATCGCATATTAGTTCCTGATAAGGAGAAGCAGGTTTTAGTTCTCATGTTTAGGGTTTCAGTGGTGCAACTGTGATGTGCTCCTTAGGGCATTTTGGAAAAGCACTCACTCTACCCTGTTTTAAAAAATGCATGTTGTCCTGGCAAAGTGAGAATAATTCCTCTTCTGCTTGCCCTGTGTATAAATTGGCTGTACCACCCCTTTATTTACAGTCTCCCAACAACCTAATCTTTTGTCTTCCATATCTCCTCAATATGTTGCAGGAGCAATCCCCTCTCCATTTTCTATCTATGCCAAAACTCTGGTGGGAAAGCACAGAAGATGCAAGCCTTTGGTAGGACAGATGAAGGGGTCTTGGACAGGATACTCTTCAATTTGTAGACTAATACTGATGAATATTTCGACATCTGGGCTGAATTTTAACCTTTCTCCTTTTCTCCATTCTTCAAAATGACAAAAAATAAACTAGAAATTCATACATTTTTGTAGTGGCAGAGATTTACAAGTCCAATCTCTTCTTTAAAAATGTTTTGCTCCCGTATACAATTGCTGGTTATGATATTTCAGTAATAAACAGTGAGCTAGTTTTTAATTATTCAATATTAAATACAGATATTTTTAGTTCTTGTGAATAGAAAAGGAATATTGGAGACATGCAAATTGTAACACTTGTTTACTCTGTGGGTAACTTTGGCTTATGACTTCTGTGCCAAGTGTAGTCAACTGTTGCCAGCCACTTTTTAATGAGAAACACATTTAGTGACCTTAAGAGCGTATCTAAAAACATGCAAGTATATATTTCACTTGAGAAAAATCTCTACATCAGAAAATAATTTTATAGTTCATAAGATATTTTGATACAAAGACAGAATTTGTTTATATATAATGCTTACCTTTAGCTAAAATAAATACCACTTCATTATTCTTCAGAAAGTTACAACTGTGAACTTGGTGTTTCAGGTCTAACTAGTTTGTTGATAAATTTACTTTTTAAAAAGTAAACATCAGTGTGCAGTTTTGCTGTCTAAACAAAAACTGAATTAGACATAGGAAATTTGTGGCAGTTTGTAGTTTGTTACATAGAAAAAAAAATCAAAGGAAGATTAATGTTTCTAAAGCTTTTTCCAGTAGCATGTGTCTTTAGGTGCGTGTTTAACTTGCTGACAATGTAACAGCAGTGACAAAGTGTGCAACAAAAGAGATGTTGTATATTTTCGACAAAGTTATTAAGGACTAAGTCAGCCAGGTCTTTGGGAATTACAGCCTTCAAGTATTAGAAAGGAATCTTTGTGCATTACCTACTTAGACAAAAATTTAATTTTATTATATAGATGCAGTATATGTGAAGACTTTAGTTATTAAACACTTAGTCACAATAGCCCTTAATTTTGTACTATAAGTAACTTTTCCCTTTCTCAGGCTGACATCTGGTCATTGGGAATCACTGCTATTGAACTAGCCAAAGGGGAGCCTCCCAACTCTGATATGCATCCGATGAGAGTCCTGTTTCTCATTCCGAAAAACAATCCACCAACTTTATTAGGAGAATTCAGTAAACCTTTTAAAGAATTCATTGATGCATGTCTGAATAAGGACCCAACATTTGTGAGTAGATATGTGTGTGTGTGTATATATATATAGATGTTTTAGGTTTGTTTTCTACTCTTGCTTGTGAAGTATTTTGCTGGTGTAGTGCATCATAGATGATTGAAATAATTTTAGAGACGATACTTTCCACTGCAGCAGTGCTTTTTAGTAGCTGTCTCTGTCCTAGTCTCCTTTGTTTAAAATGCTCAAAGGAGGAGGGAGAATGCTGAAAGACATGATGGTAGCAGAGGCAGCTTCCTAAAACGCACTCAAACTTAGGATAATGTCAGAAGAGAAGCTTTAACAGAGGAGAGAATCTTAAATCTTTTTCTCCAGCAAAACTTTTGCTGTCTGTCTGAATTCTGCTTACAAGGAAATGTTGCACTGGAGAATTTTGATTAGTCATTTTCCTGGGTGTGTACCTTCTAGCATAGAAGGATAAGCAGTATAGTCTGTGTGTGACTTGATTGTATTTTTAGAGTGCTCGTACATGTGGATTACTGGCTTTTCTTGACTTCCTGTTTCACTAATTTCCTGATGCTGTATGAGTTAGCTCTAGAAGGCAGTTGTCTTAATTTTATCTCCCCTATTAACATTGAAAATCATTATATGTTAGCATAACATTAAATATTTAAGTGTTTCTTACAGCGCCCTACTGCAAAAGAACTTCTGAAGCACAAATTCATTATGAAAAATGCCAAGAAGACTTCCTATCTGACAGAACTGATTGATAGGTTTAAGAGATGGAAAGCAGAGGGACATAGTAGTGATGAAAGTGATTCCGATGGTTCTGATTCGTAAGTTTATTTTCAGTTTAGTCTCTTTTGGGCTTTTTTTTTAATGTTACTAAAGTAGATCTGATGCAGTTTCTTGTGTAATTAACTCCTCTTCTGTATATCTGTCATTTCCATATAGTTTTTCATTGGCTTCTTTCAAGAAAACCCCTTGTATGAACCAAAAGACTAATGCATAGGTTAAGCTATGCACTCATTATCTCTTTAAACTTTCTCTCTCTGAACTTAATTTCAGTTCTGTTTAAGTGCTGTGTATTTCCTAGTCTAGGGCTAGTGGTTATACCAAAAACAGTGAATCACAATTAGAAATATTGCAGAGCAAGGTTGAGGTGTATGAAGAAGTTTGCACAATGCCTGTGGAACAACATACATTCTGTAAGTCTCTTGCTTTTCTGGATATCAGATAACTGTTTTAAATGGGATGCCATGGGAGAAGGTAGGCTTTTTGGGCAGATAACATCTTCTGTTTGCTTTGATCATCTTTCAATTTATTCAGCCTCTGAAGTTATTTTTTTAAGTTCAGTTAATGTTTCAATACACATTTTTCTTATGTTAAGGAATATGGAACTAATCCAAATAGATTCATTATATATTTGAGTTACCTATACTTATTTAGTGTTATGTTGTGACTGGTATTATGTACATTGTATCCTTTTTCTTCAGGGAGTCCAGTAACAAAGAAAATAACTCTCATCCTGAGTGGAGTTTTACTACAGTTCGAAAGAAGCCAGATGCAAAGAAGCTGCAGAATGGGACGGTATGTACAGGCTGAAGAGTTCTTCTTTCAGAGTGCTGAGTTTTTGAAGCCAATTTAAGGAAGATAGTAATAAAACTTAGTAATTATTCACTTTTTTATAAGAGCTGACATTCTTTTTGTAGTTCAAGAGATGATGCATTAGTGCTATTTCCTATGCCCATATCAGCCTTAAATGCAAAAGTTACCGCATACTAATAGATCAGTATCTGTTTGTAGAGATGCGAATTTTAAAGACTCATATAATATTAGAGACAAAACACTGACCTGTTTTTCTGATGATGTATGATATTGTTTCATGTGTGTCATCAGGTACCTGTTCCCACATCATGTAATGTTTGTTGATGTACTGTGTCTTCATTGCTTTTGTAATGTATTTCAAGTGCTTTGTTCAATTTAACTGAACTTTCAAAATCACATGTGCTATGTTAAATGCAGATTATACATTGTATAGGAATATGATGATGTAATCCTTATTTGTTAACTTTTAGGATCAGGATCTTGTTAAAACCCTGAGTTGTTTAACTATGATAATCACCCCTGTGTTTGCTGAGGTAAGTCTTGTCTTAAAAATCCTTGAAAGTATGACCCAAGTGTGTGATAAGTTTTATAAACTTTATTTATTTTGGTTTGCTACTCAGCTCAAACAGCAGGACACAAATAATGCTAGCAGAAAGAAAGCAATTGAGGAACTGGAGAAAAGCATCAATATGGCAGAAGCAACATGTCCAGGGATCACAGACAAGATGGTGAAGAAACTTATGGAGAAATTTCAGAAGTAAGTTGAAGAATTTTTTTTGTGCATTGTATTAAAAAAAATAAAAACATTTTAAAAGAAAAAATTTAAGTATTTCTGCACAGGAAAGGTTAGTTGATGCTGAACTCCCTATGTTGGGGAAATTTGAGTAGTTTACTGACAAGTCAAAGATCTGCTGTATCCAGTGCTTTGAACTTTTTCAACTTTGGTAGTTACACATAACACTTCTTTTTGAGACTAAACCTAATAATAACAATTACTATATCTGTTTGGTCTTCTACTGCTGCAATTTTACTCTTACATGTTGCTTCCTTTAATTTAGCCTGCAATTTTGTTGTAAGCACATTTATAGCAAGTAAGGGAGCAGGTGAATCTTTAACTTATCTTTTTAGGAAGTATTTTCTTGAAAATTTAACTTCTGATGTTCTTTTCCTGTGAAGTGTTGAGGTGAAGGCATGTACTAGTTTAGTGATGCAAAAATAGTTATGTGCTGTTTGCCACTCTGAAACAATAGAATTAACAAAATTCTTGCTTGCATTTTTTTTATCCGTAGATTTTCTGTTAATGACTCATCCTAAGAAACTTCACCTAATTGACTGCTGTTTCATATGGACCCAGTGAAACCCACCAAAACTACTTCAAGCTTGGCAGTGCTTAGCTCATGAGCTCCTTGTGCCTTTTGGATCTTTGCAACATATTGATGGTGATTGAGGATTTGAAAGAACCTACTCAACTATTTTGTGGCAGTGCACATGGTTTTATATTTTCAGGAAATTATTTTGTAAAGAACAACTTTTAATATTGTAGTTTCACCTGTTTAATCTGATAAATGTTGAGGTGCAGTTTTGCTTTTAGAAATAACCATTACTTTAGTTAATAGAAAGTGCAAGTACAGTATGTTTTGATGCTATTTTTTTCCTGTACATGGGGGATGTACAGGTCTTTTGTATTCATGAGTTAAACTTTTGTAAATCACTAACAAGCTTCAGAGAAAATAGCTTTTTCACAAGCGTATTCAAAACATGTAATGTAGTGGCAAGGGTATTGCTGTAGCACCTGCTTCGACCAGCATATAGTTATTGTGCCCTGAAAAATAAACCTGCAACAGTATCTATTATAATTCTAAATTGGTACAGTATTTTAGGCAGCTCTATGATTAAATATATTTGAGAGCAATATGTCAATAGTTTGCAGGTGATATGTAGCAACAGGTATATCCTGATGTACAGTATGTGTATTACCTTTTAGAACAGGTTTTGAAGTAGTAATTCAATCTTATATCATCATGGTAGGAAAATTTAAAGCAATACAGTTGAGGGGGTGGGGCTTTTGGCAATAATGGACAAAACCTGAAGTCCAATTTAACTTAATTTAATTTTTTTCCTCTGAGTATACATGCCTGGGTGGAAGGGAGCCAGAGAAGCCGAGCGTCGCATGATACATACCTCACAAGCAGGTATAAGTGTAACACCAGCGTTCTGTGTGGTGGTGTTGTTTCTCCTGTAAGATATTTATACACATTTTTGTTCTTAAATACATTACAGTACATCAACATAATTTGTTTATAATTTTCTGAAAATGTATTTTAAATATGTATTTACCAGTTAATATGCAAATAACTGAGTTATAGATATTCTTTCACAAAAAGGTAGTACTGTGCAGTATGGAGTGATTTTTATTTTTATTTTTTTCCAATAAAAAGTAGATAAGACTATAAAGTTGCTTTCAGTTACATATTTATGGTACTGCTAGATGGGTAATCTCTTCTGGTTTTTTTTTCCCTTTTTCAACCCAGTATGTATATTATGCTGAAGTTTTGAACTGGGATTGTTTTTCAGTACTTAGCTGTGGAACTGTTGGTGTAAATTTATTTTTGATAAACGCTGGGTGTGTTTATTTTATGGTTCAGACCTGCACATTTTGTTTTTGCACAAAAGTCATTTTAAAGAATCTGAAATATATCTGCCAAATATTGAAAAAGTAATGGTGTGCAAGTAAATACTGCATTTTTAGTCAAATGTTGCCATTACATCATTTTTATATAAAGGACACTTGTGAGAGATGGTGGTTAGATATGCCAAGGACAATTATTTTCAATGGTGCCTACACTGTAAAAAAAAATTAAAAATTACTTTTAACTCCTTGTTTTAATTTTAAAAAAATGTTTCTGTTTAAAACTTTCATCTGCTATATAACTGAAATTCGATTAGAATTTATATCTGAGAAAAAAGTCTGGAAATAGTTTTTGAAAACAATAATGTTATGGATTAAATAAATATTTTTATAAATGTAAAAGCAGCAAAAGTTGTAAATACAGTTGATCTGAAGCTTTACAAAATAACTGCATCACAGAAACAAATTGTAGTGCTCCTCTAGCTTCAATAGTTGTTAGTCTTGTAAATCTGTTTATAGATGAAGCTTCTTTCAATGTTTTGGGGGGTTTTAAATGGTTAAAAATAAATATTTAAGTTCTGTAAACTTTGATGAGCTTGTTTTGTTGTGCGTTTTATTCTGGATTTTAGTAGATGTGCAGAGGTGTGGATATACCTCTTACAAACTTGTGCTCTAGTTTGAGAAAGATGTCCTTGCACAGAGTTGCATGGTTGCTTTGAAAAGGTTTGGGTCCCCCACATGCTGTTCTTGTCCGGAGGACACCTGCCAGCTGCTGTGCCACAGGAATGCTGTAGACAGATAGAGCAGCCTCAGGGTTCAGTTTGATTCTGTTCCTAAAGAGGAGTCTTTAGGATTTGTGTGCTCAGACGAACGTGCGGCCTGTGACAACACGGTAGAGATGTCAGAACACTCTGACTTCATTGTGAACTCAGCGTTGTGGAGTGAGGGTACAAAAAGGCCTGTGCCACAGTTACCTTGGCTTTCACTTCAGCAGGCTCAACACAAATCTCGTTTCAAAGAGCTCCATACAAATTTCTCAGAATTAACAACATGTATTTACTTCCATGTCACTTCCCTTAAGGTGTGAGACTGAGGGGACAGATGATGGGAATGCCTCCTGAATTTTGGAACTGGTGGCTCTACCCTGTTGACACAAGGTCTTTAATCTATGCAACTCTAAACGATTCTGGGTAGGTAGGGTTAGTGAATTATTTGGGAAATTGGAACCTGTACTATTTATGATATGACTGTAACAAATTGCTGAACTATGGTGCCTCTTTTTTTTCTGTAAAATGGGTGGGATGTATACCTACCTCACAGGACAGTGTGGGGAAAAACATCCACGTGTGTGTAATAGAGCCTTGTTCTCTTCAAGTCCATTCAAGGTTTT